GGCTGGTGCTGCTGGGCTTTGGCACGGGCAAAGCGTCACCAGGCCCGGAAAGCTCCAGCCCGGGCTGAAGGCGGTCGCTTCAGAAATACAAAGTGGCCATTTGCTGTTTGCATGGGCAGGTTTTGCTTCGGAAAGCGGTATTTAGGCAGGGGGAAAGCCAAGGATATGACCTAAATGGGTTGGATTGTGGCTGGGGGGGGGTTTTTTTTTTTTTTGTTGGATTGTGGCTGTTGGTTGTTTTTTTTAGAAAAAGCCCAAAGGTGGGTATTTCCAAAGGTCCTACAGGACCCAAAAGACGCCCTGTTACAGACCAAATCTCAGTGGAGTATTGCCCTTAGCAGACCATAGCTGAGGCTGGAGGGCTGCATGCGCTCCATACTCGTGTGGCTTTGCTGTTGTTTTGGGCAATGGGTCAGGTCTGATGGGGATGCCAGGGGACAGGCTCCCGATCAAATAGCCATCACAACTGGGACCATCTCCAAATAGCCACCATTGCAGGAAAGGTTAGAAACCAGCTGGCTAAAAGACAAAGTCCAGAGCATGCTGTGCCCTCGCTTTCACACCAAAGAGAGTCCAAAGGGGCTCCCGACCAGCCAGATATTGCCTAAGCACCCCAAGACAGCACAACGGGGAGAGAGTCTGTGTATCTGTCCTTGCCACTCACTGTGCCATCAGCTTTTAAGAGCTACCTGCAGGGAACAGTATTTAGGAAAAGAAATCCATCCAAAAATCCATCCCTTTGTGACTTGGAATCTGACCCCAGATTATGATTCATGACCAAAAGCGATGAAAAGAGCTTGTGGTGACTTGAACAATGACTTTTCCAAGCAGAGGCAGTGCTAAGCGGGGAATGCAAGACTCCTGAGAAAGCAGGAGGAATGCACTCCAAGCCTGAACGCTGCAGATGAAATTTGTTGCATCATATAATCTGTTTTTGTGCTTTGAGTTTCAGCTAGATGGGGAGATACTAAGATAGCAGGAGAAAGGCCATTTCTGCGAGATCTCCAGTCCAGATTGGGAGAATCAGTCAGACTGCCAGGATGACCAGCGATTTTATTTACTTGTCTTTTTCATTGCCTTGCTAAACCCCATCTCCAAATGGAGCCACCAAGGAGGGAGTGTCAGCATATAGGTGCTGATCAGAGGCAGAGAGGAAAAAGGTTAAGATATAACAGCTGAAAGTTGTTAGATGAAAACATTATTTTTTGAAAGAGCCTGAGAGCACTGCAGTTTTATAAAACCTCCCATTGTATTGCACTAATAAGTCAAGTGTTCGCAGCCGAGCCAGCAGACAGACTCTACAGCATCTATTACCGGAGTGTTTATTTACGAAGGCAGCTACCGAGCCAAAGCTGATCAGAAAAGAGGAAAGACTGAAATATGGTTTTAAAGAAATACAGCTCCTTGGACTGGTTTTAATTTAAAATCCTAGAACTGGGTTCGTTGTTTTCTTTTGTGTTTCGCCCCCTCCTCCCCATTTCTTCAAGGAATGAATTGTCCAAAGCCAGCCAGCCAGAGGGGAATTTTCCTCTAGGTGTCTCTGTCCCCATTTTTATTCTCCATTTTCTCTCATACACACACGCATACACACACCCACCCCATGCGCACGCACGCACACACACTCTTCTTTTGTAGCCTTCCCAGTCCAGCATCACCTTTTCATTACCATAGTGATCTCCCACATCCCAGCACAGTGCTCCCTGAAGCACTTTATAACTCAAATGTGCCCCAGCACCTTTCTCTGTCCCCTGGTGCAATGTGGCCATCCCATGCAGGAGGCACCAGCTGCGCACAGGAGCAGCACATGGTGGCAGGGGACAAGAAGCCGGCGCTGCCAGCTGGGTCCTGCCATCCCAGTGGGGCCATGGGCAGGACACTGTGGATGATATGATTTCATCTGAGCAGACACCTGCACCCGTGCTGGACATAGGGCTTTGCAAAACAGTTATCACCTGCTCTTAAAAAAACAGGAGGGATGGGGCCTGGATTTATTGGATTTGACCAGCAATCCAAAGGTATGCACACACAGAGGCACCAAGTGCTCTGCTATTGTAGTTCAGGAGAAAGCCCATACCTGCGGCAAACATGCTCCTCTCTCTCCTTTTGGAGTATTTTGCATCCCAACCAAGGGCACATGGAAGGAGAGGAACAAAAAATCCCTCCAGGCTTTGTCAGGGAGAAATGCATGGTCACAGTAACACACCACTGCCTTCCCTAGCAATGGGGGATGGTGCGGGAAGCTGGGGGAGGATGGAGGAGAACAAGGCGAAAAGAAAAGGTGGGAGCAATTTTAAATGAAAGGAAAAACTTACATTAAATTATTGCTTTATTTCTGGTTCTATGCAAGTCTCTGACACATTCCACCCTGCCCCCCGAGACATCATGTCTGCCCCCAAACAGCCCAGTAAGGAGGAGAAAGACCTGAAGGGATCCTGCCCAAAAAAGGAGCCTTCCCAAGACTTGGATCTACAGAGGAGTCTCTTAGTTAAAATAAAGTCCCCAGCCAAGGCAAGCCCTCCTACCCAGCAGTGTCTGGTCCCACCAGCATCCCCTGTAGATGGTAAAGGGTGGGAGGGAAAGGGAAGGAAAAGCTCCAGCCCCAGTGTTTTGAGAGGTGTCTTCCCTCCAGACCATGCATGAACAAGGCATCAGGATGTGGAGCAGACCATAACGGAGAGGGCACGGGGGAGAAGTCAACCAAAAGATGAGCACAGGGTGGGAGGAGAGGAATTGTGGCGAGAGTTACCCAGCTCTCCCGCACCTCTCCCTCACCTCTCCCCCCAGCCCCTGCCTCATCGGATGCGGAGGTATGAGGGGATGGAGTAATTGAAGAGCAAGTAGTCCATTTTGTATAAATTAAAGAGTCTCCTTTGGTAGAAAGGGCTAATGTCCTGGAAGAACTGGGCTGTCATGTCATCCGTTGTCCTGGTGGTCTTGGATGAAGATGGGAACTTGACACTTGTGTCAGCCCCAACCAGCTGAAGGATGTAGTTGGCATCTTCCACCAAGGTTTCGTACTTGCCCACCACGTCGTAGTGGACGATGCAGGGGTGGCAGAGCGAGTGCACCCTCTCCCAGTGCTCGTTGAAGGGCTCCTCCCGCTGCGTCCGTGGATCCAGCAGGTAGTAGACGAACTCCTCAAAGCGCACATCATCCCCGCGCTCCAGGGCCTTGTCACTGGGTTCCTGCCGGTGCCGACGGATGATCTTGGTCCCATAGCGCTTGTGGAAGGCCGTGTTGTAGCTGCGGGTGAACTTGTTGCGGTACGCCGAGACCAGGCGCTCAAAGGGCTCCCGCACGAAGATGAACTTGAGGTAGTTGCGCAGGCGGTGGTTGATCTCGGGGATGCTGTACTCAGAGAGGGTGCGCAGGTTGGATGAGACGTGGGCCTCATTGGCGGGGATTTCCAGTGGGTCCTGGTACTTGCCTTGCCCCGTCAGGACCATCATCACCCGCTTCCAGTTAGTGCAGGCCACTTTGGGCACGTAGCAGTAGAGCAGCCCATGTGTGTCATCCACCACCAAGTGCCGCAAGTCATCCGGCCGCAGGAGACGCCGCTTGCGGGTGTAACGGTTGCAAATGTTGCTCAACAGCTCCCGTCTCTGCTGGTGAATGACCTGCAGTGACGATTGCTCAAACTGAGGAGAAAAAAAAAAGTGATGGTCACCAGCATGCCCAAGCTGATCATGGCCTACACACAACACTTGGCCCACAACAGTCCCCATTCCCTCCCCTTTCCTGGGTCCCATGCGGGATTTTTGGGGGCAGCATTTGCTCTGAACACAAGTTGATTTGGTGCATTTAATCCTTGGACCTGCTGGGGCCAAAACACAGAACAAAATGTGGTGAGGAGCCAGATGGGAAGTCAAGTCAAAGGGGGTGAGGGAAGAACAAGTGGTGCAGAGAGGGTCAACAACCGAACATTTGTTACAGCACCCACACACACACACACTGGGCTACACACACCCTGCAGTGACGATTGCTCAAACTGAGGAGAAAAAAAAAAGTGATGGTCACCAGCATGCCCAAGCTGATCATGGCCTACACACAACACTTGGCCCACAACAGTCCCCATTCCCTCCCCTTTCCTGGGTCCCATGCGGGATTTTTGGGGGCAGCATTTGCTCTGAACACAAGTTGATTTGGTGCATTTAATCCTTGGACCTGCTGGGGGCAAAACACAGAACAAAATGTGGTGAGGAGCCAGATGGGAAGTCAAGTCAAAGGGGGTGAGGGAAGAACAAGTGGTGCAGAGAGGGTCAACAACCGAACATTTGTTACAGCACCCACACACACACACTGGGCTAAAGCTCACTCTTACACCAGTCCATGGGGGGATACATGGCCTGACACACACACACACACCCCACACACCCCCCCAGGGGCAAAGAGCACAGCCCCTTTGCTGGCGCAGGGCCCCGCACACCTCCCGGCTGTGATGGGGCATCACCATGTTGTGCTGATGCCCACACCCACAGCTTGCTGCGAACACCACAGCCAAGAGGCAGAAACGTGGCACGCGAGTGTGGGCATGTACTATGAAAATGGCGTGGGTGTGCTGCCAAGGAAGGGCAAAGGGAGACGGGTGGAGGAAAATGGTCTTTAACGCTGACGGTCGAACCCTGGGGAGCAGACGGGGAGCTGGAGGAGAGGTGGGGTGGCAGGGCATGATGGAGAGGAGTGAGGCGCCGCTGGAGGTGTTGGGGTGACCCTTCCCAAGAGCTTTGGGTTTCTTCTCCTGAGGAACTTGCCGCTGGAGGTGTTGGGGTGGCCCTTCCCAAGGGCTTTGGGTTTCTTCTCCTGAGGGACTTTTTCCACACAGGCCAGTCCAATGCCTCAGCTCTGGTCACAGTCTTCTTTGTCCACAGGGAGGTCCTTTTTCTTTATCCCTTTTGATCCTTGTGTCAAGGCCTGGCAGCCGCTGCACTGGCTTCCCAGGAGTACAGAGCCCCCCGACCCCTGCCCCAGCTGAGCCACCCCTCCAGATTTGCGGATGTGACCTTTCCTGTCATGGTTTTTCATCAGAAGTCCCAAAATGTCATTAAAACCTGGGGAAGGAAACCATTTCCAGGAACTCAGAAGGGGAAGGTCCCTTCCTCCAACTGCCCACTCCTTCTTCATTTTGCTCACAAGGGTTGGAAGGTTTCGCGTTCAACCCCGAGGCCATTGCTGGGAACCTCCAACAGTCTTGTCCAGGCCACGACCGCTAACGGCTTCACCGCCCGTTTGCTAACCTGAGGCAGCTCTGACCCCACAGAGCTGTTGCTATAATGCAATGCAATGACCCCCATGCCGCAAGGCGACCGTGGCTTCCACTTTGGGGTTGTGAAGACAGTCCCGTCGGCGTCACAGGGTGCCATGGCAAATATCTCTGCAGCCTGCAGAGACGTGACAACCTCAAGGTGAAGGGCAAGGGCAAGCCACCTCGTGGGTCCCTTCATCCTTGCTGCTGACAGCTGTCATCACTTATGCTTGCCAAAGGACACCCTTTGCCAAGCTTCAGGTGCACCCTTACCTCTCCCTGGGGGCCCATAAGGGTTTTTGGGAGGCATTAGAGCCTGGGAGAGGCAGCATTGTGGAGATGGGGCTTTGTAAAGCTCCTGCCAGGAGTTAGGATCCTGAGACAAACTGCCCCTCCTGTGGATGATCCAGCAGACCCGTCACCTTCAGAGGGGCACTAACAGCTGGGCAAAAAGCTCCTCCTGCAAGGGATGAACCACACTCATACCCTTTTGGATCTCATTTCCCCAAAAGAAATAACCTTGTCCAGGTCACCTTAGTGACCACTTTCTCCAGGAACCTGCATGGACAGTAACCTGAGACAGGGGCAGGAGAAAGCCTCCCCTCCCTGCTCCTTCCAAGAGGGAGATGATAAGGGAAAATACTCAGATGGAGGAAATGCAGGTCAATAGTCTCTAACTGCCACGAAGAGATGACTTTGACATTGTTGGCTACTTGGATGTGAAGAAGATACAGCATCTAGGGAAGTGATAATCATAGCTGAAGAGGCATTCTCATGGTACACCTCCTTGCGACAGTCAAACATTTCAGCAGAAATTTCTTTTGTTTGGAGGCTCCCCATCACCTTTTAAAATTGGAAACCCTTTTTGCAACTGCTCCAAAAAAAAGAGGCATTTTAATAATGTGATTTTTTTTTCAGGTGTTTTTCCCTGCACTTGCATAATTCAAAACTATTGGACCAGGGAGACAGACAGACAGACACTGTCTGCAGGCATGGCAACAAATAAATGTGACTACTTTTCAACAGCTGTCCACTGGAATAAGTGCATGTCTTGCAGTTATTTCAGAGCAAAATTGCTCCCTTCATTTCCTTTTCTTTAAAAGCCAGAGAAATTAAGTATCACTTCTAAGGAAATAACACCACGACATTCCAGCAGCATTAGGGTTTGCCGGCATCGTGGCCAAGGAAGTTCACATCTGCCATTTTTCCCAGAGCAAACGTAATTCATCTGCTTATAGACATAAAAGCATCAACGTAGACAGTGACACAAAGTGTTGCATATGGAAAGGAGATCTGGCTCTGGCTGCAGCGGGCACTGCCGATGGGCAGTGGGGAGGCAGCGGGGATGGCAGCCAGCTGCAGGGACCACCAGCGTTGCCCTCTGCTTCTTGGGGGCTGCAGAAGATGACTGCCCTGTGGATGTGCAGAGATGCAGGGCACACTTGGTGGCTGGGGCACGTGGCCATGGCCCAGTCCGTTGCACCGGTTGGAGGGCGGTTTCCTGCAGGGAAGTTGTGGACGAGGATCCCTCTGCAAAGACAAGTCTGGCCGCATGGGGGGAAAACTGCCCACCCAGGGGGGAAATGCAGTAGAAGGAAACAAACACACCCTTTGCAGCTTCAACCACAAACCCTCCCATTGAGCTGCTAAAGGGCAAGTGGGACACCTTCCCTGATGCTGGGTCACCAATGCTGGCTGGGCTGCACGCACCGGGGGCCGGTGAGAGTGAGTGCCCCCTGCCTCAAGCAGTGACCATGGCTTGTCCTGCAGCAGACCCTTGCACGGACGGGGACCCACTAAGCCCACCTGGAGGGGAGCGTTTCCCTGCCCAGACTGTGCCTGGCTGCCCCTGTCTCAGCAGGTGTAGCTGGCACAGCTCAGGGTGATGGAGAAGACTGAGATGTCCCAGGATTATAAACCCCTCGTGGCTGGGTCCAGCTTTATATATGTATATAAATGTATATACATTATACATACATATATGCATGTACATATGTGTGTGTGTGTGTGTATATATAGCACCCAACACAGAAGCATCTACCAATTATTAGCTCAGAAAGTGCAGCAATGATGCTCTTGCCCTGCTATGATGGCCCAGAGTTGGCTCTGAAGTCCTCAGATAGTGAAATCTCCTGGGTTTGCCCAGCTATGGCTCAGCCCACCACTAATGAAACCGTTTGCCCAAGTACCAGCAAGGGCCATAAGCAGTTTTTTATCAACAATTACTCCCCAAAGTGGTGTGGTCTTTGCTTTTGGACACGGCCAGAGGTTCAGGCGCAGGGACCTTGGGGGTGGTTGGAGACAGCGCAGTGGCCCGCACACCAGAGGCGTGGAAGAAGGGGTCAACCCCCAGCGCCCCACTCCCTCTTCACCCTATCTCCCTCTCCCTGTGCCCTTACCTGGTCACTCTCATATAGGGCCTGGAGTGGGCTGCGACCGGACTTCCCCTGCCAGGTGGATCTCATAACCCCATCTTCTGCAACTGGAAAAGGAGTGAGAAAAATCAGAGAGGTTGGGAGGGGCTGCTTCCCTCCCCCTCTCTGGAGATGCCCAGTCTCCATGATGATGGGATGAGGCAATGTCCCCCGAGAAGAGACAAATCTGTTTGGCTCTGAGAGAAGATGCTCAAGCAATGCTTGTCCCTCCCTCTTATTTTTTAACAAAACCTGCAGTTTGGGTTCAAAAGGTCCAGACCTAACCTTTAAACAAATAAAAGACCATAAATAAAGATAATGGCTTGTTACAATTTCAAGAGCAACTGGGAACAGTTTGATCCATGTGCATTTGGGAAATGCCACTGTGTGCAGGCTGCATTGGCGAGGGAATGACCCAGGAGGTGACAGGACGCCGACCAGCATCGCCGGCCCCTTGAGGGGCGAGATAGCATTTGTGCTTGGCAGTGATAAGGGGCAGATCCAACACCGGCAGCTCAATGCTGAGCCCCCACAGGCTTGGAGTTTGCATTTCCAGGCTCAGAGACACAGTCATTAATAGACAAATTGGTCAGATACTTTGTCTGACTGAGAAGTTGTTTCAAGTTCTTATTTGCTATTTATTTTTCTTCTTCCCTTCTAAACCAGCAACATCTCCTTGAGTGTTTGAAGCTGAAGACAGCCACCCAAGCAGTCCTCGCCCCTCTCCTGCCATGCAGATCGGCTGGTTTCATTTTGGAGGTCTATTTGCAGCAGCACCAAACCTGAGGCTGGATCTGGCCAGCCACGAATGCAGCGCCGGACACTCAGTCGGTGACAGATGCTCAAGTTCTCATGCTCATAAATCATGTAGGGATGCAACCACCTTCCAGGCTATGAAGCGTCCGCTTCAGCTGCCATCCCTCAGCCCCAGGGACCTGTTTCCAGCACAGCGTGGGCAGAACCACTTGGCCTGGATATCCCAAACCTAATGCATGGAGCCAGCCATGACAGGGGTGCAGGCTCTTGCTTGCAGTGACACCTCCAAGCAGCTGTCCCACCTCTCACCCACCCTCTGCTTCTTCTATCTGACCCTCTCTGTTGGCAGAGGATGCCACAACAGTTTTCATATGAGAAGGTTTCTAACCATGGGGGTTGTGCAGCCCTGGAGCTGGCTTCCACGGAGGAAATCACACTGTGAGTTTTAAAATGCAAGATGATGTTTTTTCTGAAGGGGATGACAGGACACGTTGTTCGGGAGATTGTGGCCTGGGAGGTTCTTCCAGTCCTCCAAGTTCCTGCTCCTACAGGGACCTTCTAAAATCTCAGAGGGACGTATGTGATGGAGGGAAAAGCATCTCTCTCAAACCATTTCTGGCAACATGAAGGTTTCTAACACAGAGGCTTTTTGCACGACAATTTGGGGCTCTGGATCTTTTCGTTCACTGACCATCACCAAACAAAAACAAATTTGTTATACAAGCCCCAGATGGCATCTTTTTAACCAAAACAACCAGAAGGAAAAATCCAAATCCCATCTTCATTTTCATGTGCTTGTATTTTGCTTAAATGAAAACTGGTCCAAAGCACAAAGTCACCAGGGTCTAAGCTAAACATTATTCATTCCTGGAGCTGTAATTAGGGGGAAATGACTGCCTGACCTCACAAGATTTCATCAGCAGTGCATGTACACTTGTGCGTTTGTGGGAAATGACGCTTCCTGCAGCACTGGATTGATTGAGATGTGACTCAACGAGAAGGTACGGTTTCTTCCTCCATCCCCTGTATCAGTTACTCCACAGGAGGGTGAAACGGCATCTGTGCTAACGAGAGATAAGCGGAAGATCCAACGTACACAGCGCTGAGCTGAGATGCTTGTCCCAGAGGAGCCCCATTTCACATTTCCAGGCTCAGCCCTCTGCAAATGACAGGGAATGAAATCGACCTTGAAAGCTCGACTCACTGCAGCTCGAATCTGCAAGCAGAGAGCATTAAACTCCAGTCCTTTCCTGGACGGGGCTGATAAACTCCTGTTCGATTTAAGAGCGTGACCCTGCTGTGGGCTGTCTGCAAGTGTCCTGCACCACAGCAGACACTTGTCCTATATTTAGTAAAAGCAATGCGGAGGCGTTTGTTTTCGAGATTAACACGTGTAGCCACCAGAACCTTTCTTATGAGGGACATAAGCAAACCCCGGGTGGTTCAGGCTGACCTGAAGCTGCTAGAAATGCAAATTGCTTGTGCTGGCACTGCACAGGGGAGCGTGGAAAAGCCGTCCCAGGGAAAGGCTTCAGCGCCCGGTGCAGGGTCAGGTCATGGCCCGGGCTGGCTCGGCAGGAGGCTCTTTAGGGTGAACAAAAAGCAAATCTGCAGTAAAGCGGGGAGCGAGCAGAGGTCGGGCAGGTCAGATCTGTGCTCTGACTGCTCTGGGCTGCGCCTTTCAGTGCTGCTGAGGCAGGGGAACAAGCCTGGCCAGGGACTGCTGCACCTCGCATGAATCTTGCCAACAGCCCCAGCAGAAACGTTGCAAAATGGATTTCCTCCAGCCTTTCCCCAGCGCAAGATCTGGCAGAGAAGAAGGCGTCTTCTCCGGCTAGCAGCAAACCCCCTGGGATCCCCACTATGCTCATGCTGTACAGGGTTCCAGAAAAACAGGGGAAGAGAAAAAAAAAAGGAAAAAAAGCTGCCAGGCTGCTCCCGTGCGGCTGGAGGAGCCCGGGAGCACTGCGCTGGCAGGGGGAAGACGCCAGCACTCCACGCTCACTGCATCTTGCCAGCTTTTGCTCTCCAAAGTGATGACACCATCTCCTGCCCAGGGCGCTCGCCAAACCCTTCAGAGCAAATGTCTGGCCCAATGGCAGGTTTTTACAAGGCTCCAACTGCAGGAAGTCTCCCCCCTCAGAAACCGTCTGCTCGTGCTACACGCGGCGTCCCAAGGAGAAAAGCAAACGGGCTCCTGGCTGGGCCATGAGGATGACTTTTGAAGACAGTGTTAAACCCTGCGGCAGAGGGGGAGATGCAGCAGCTGCAACCGCGTGCAGCTCCGCACAGCACCATGCCGGCACCGGTGCATGCGGAGGGCAGCAGCCGATCTGTGTGCCCCATGGGACCAAAGCATCCATCCTCTTCAGGGCTGGGGTCAGAGCGGCTGCAAATGCCTGCGGCCGGCAGTGTGCGCTCGAACGGAGACAAGTCCGGGCCACCTGTGCCCAAAGCATCCCCAAAACACCTGGGATCGCCCAGTAAAGCAACATTGGCCGTCACAGCGGTAGGCATGCCAGGGCTGCAGCGTCCTGCCTGAGCCAGCGGGAAGCTGTAGACAGTGATTTAACAGAGTCCAGCCCCCCTAAGACCAGGCTTTGCCACCTAACACAGCTCTGCCCCATGACCCCAAGCTGTGGCCATCCCCTGTTCACCATGCCTCAGCCCCAGCACCTGCAATGTCTCTGCTGATGCACTCCTCTCCCAGTCCTCCCCCGTCGCCAGACCCTGGGTCCTCATCATGCAGCTCTAGGAACACAGCTCATCCCTAATTTGAACACAAAACCCCACCTCCCCAGCTGCTCCATCCCAACCACCTCATCATGCAATTCCACAGCGTGCTCCCATCCTGGGGTCTCTCCCCACCCTGTCCCCTAATTGCTGTCCCCATCCTCTCCTTGCCTTCACCACCTACCCCAAGCAGGCAATGGCCCACCTTAGGAAGGCTGAGCTCAAGGGGCTCCACAGCTGGCTGAACTGCACAGCTGGAGAGGAAACCAAACATGGAAGGGGAGCCGGGAAAAGGCTAGATTCTCAATCTGTGCCTGTTTCTTCCATCAATCTGGGATACAGCCTGGACTGTGAGGAGGTGGAGGGAAGAAGAGGGCAGATGGGCAATGGCATTTACACATCCCTCTTCTTCCACTCGTTCATGCTGAGAGCAAATCAATCACCCCATCCCCTGTATGTTGGCTTACCCATCCCTGGGATGCTCCTGGGACTCCAAGAAGTTTGAGAAGGCCAAGGAATACTGAAATATATGACAGTGTTGAGGAGGGAGTATCATCAGAATAAATTAATGGTTCGTGCTGTGTTTTGGCACCATGGCCCTGAGTACAGCAGGATCTTCCATCATGGGGGAGCTGCCAAGATCTTTTCATCCTGGCTTTCCTCCTAACGTTATAGCTCGTTACTGAGGTTCCCAGATTCCACCACATGCAGTGGTAATCCTCGGAAATTTAGCATTGCCACAATTGCATCCGAAAGCAGGGACGTCACTTAGCCAAGGTATATCAAGTTTCTAAAGGGGAGAAAACATCAACCCTTGGCAACTGCTGGATCACCATTTGGATAACAAGTATCAAGGACAGTGTACGTCCATGATCCACGGACAAAATGTTTGTCATTGAGACGGGCAGAAGGAAATACCACATTTGTCCTTTGCATCTTCAAAGGATGAGGCAAGAGAATAGGAGTGATGCAGAGCAAGAGACCGAAAACCCCATGCTAAGGCAGTAACATTGACCAGAAATCACTGAATGAGATGAGCCTGAAAGGGAGCTCAGGCATGTTTTGGAGTCTCCTGTGCTACAAGTGCTTCCAGTCTTTCCTTCAGAGCTTAAAAAGGCAATGCGCTCCCTCCCTCCTTTCCCCCTACAGCCCAGATTTTAGTGCTGTCCCATCAAAACCAAAGCTATTCTCTTGCAGCGGTGTGACATCAATACCACAGCAGGATCTGGGGTTTCAATGACTTGCCAGCTCTCTTTGGAAAAGGGAATAGATTTTAAAGCTGTGAATATTTAGGTGTACTAGCTGATTGCGAAGACAGCCAGACATGTGAGGTGAGGGAAAGACTGGATCATGCCCATCCCAGACTTCTGGAAGCACCAGTGAAAGAATTTGCTGTTTTGGCTGCAGAGACTCTTAATTATGGAGGGAGGTTCTCTGCAACCACAACAGCAAATCCAGTGCCTGAATTGAAGAGTTTGGCTAGAAGACAGGATTCAGGCAGCGACAAGCCTGCTAGGCTGACATCAGCATTTCCAAGGCTTTAGAAAACAGTCTGAAGGAAAGAAAACAATTAAAAGAT